TGTGATTGATAATTGTTATATATTTCAATAATAATTGAATAAAATAGAATGCATGAAAATAAGTTTATAACTAGACTTATGTCATAATATCTGATTTTAAATTTTTAGTTGATTATATTTTATTACGATGTTATCATATTTTCTACCTTTAGCAAATTATCCTCAATAGATTTACAATATAATTAAAGTAAAATTAACAAGTCGAGAGTTAGAGACATATCATACATTTATAATTTTGCATTATTTTATCACTCGTTTCTGTGCACAGAATTTTATAATAAAATATCCTTTTATATAAAGCAATGTTATCAGCAATTGCTATCAAAGAAAACCAATATTTAATATTTATCTATTTTTTGTTTGTATCTATATATATAATCGAGACGAGTAGATAATAATAATAAGCGCAGAGCCCAAACGGTTAGGAGTTGAAAGCTGAAATTTGGTACACAGTTAGGGTATGTCACAAAAACGCACACTAAGAAGAGATTTTTCGAAATTTCCACCTCCCCTGGGGGGGAGAGGTACAGGATTAAGCTTAACAATTCCATCAACAATAGAAGTGTTAAGTAACAATGGAAGTGTTAATAGAAAGCAACGTTTTAAGAGAAAGTGCAGTTTTTTTTCGTTTTTGCAGGAAATCAAACATATTTTTAGACGACTATAACATAATAATATTAATCTTCACTATTGTTACCTTTTCCTGAGCAATGCCGGGCCTACCTGCTAGGCCCAGCATTGCTCAAGAAGTTTTAAGTAACAATGGAATTGTTAAGAGAAAGCGATATGCAAGACGCAGATGCAGTTTTTTTTCATTTTTGCGGGAAATCGAATATATTTTTAGACACATCTAAAAATTCTCTAATCAGTCCAGAAACAGGGGGACCCAATTCTTGCATTCTGTGAAAACGAGTAAGGTTGACTATAACGTAATAATGTTAATCTTCTCTATCGTTACTTTTGCCCGAGCAACACCGGGCTTACCTGCTAGTTTAAAATATTCTACATATTCTAGAACTATTCTAGACATATTCTAGATAGTTAATAGTTGTAGTATATGACTGATCAATTTCACACTTTAGAAATTTCTGTAAAAATAATTTTACAAGACTAATAAAGTGAGACTTTGTATATCAGTTTGATGGGAAGTGATTATAAATTAAGACACTTTGGATATTTTTTGAATATAACCAATCCATTAACAAGAAAAATATATTTATGCTTAGCAATATTGAAACAAATTTAAGATTATTTTTCAATGAGCAAGTATTTATTATAGAGAAATGACGTAAAATTTATCACTTTTCACTATTCTTACTATTCGATAATGAAAATTTTTAGTGTTTAGATAATATCTGAGATCGTAAATATTATATAAATTAAAGAAAATTCCTTTTTTGATGCTTTGACTTCTAGATTGATGACTTTTGACTTTCAAAGAAGTAAACTTCTTATTAAGTATTGTGTTTATGTAAGAATCTGGAGAAGAGGTCAGGTGGCTTTTTGAAAACATCTGATGTGCAGTAATAAACATTGCTTTATTCATAAAATGGCAGTGATTCTATCTAAAGTCCTTAAAACTATTCAAAATGTAAAAGTAAAGAACTTTCATGCTATTATTTACTTTGAAAGTATGTCTTTATTTTTTTATAGATTATTTAGATTTTTATCAGATAAGAAATTATGAATTTACTTTAGAATTACTGTCTAGCTCTAATCTGAATTACAGTAAATTGAAGATTTCTGTATCATCAGATTATTATTTACTAAAAAAAAAAACTTTAAATATATAAAACATTAATTTTTTAAAGACGACTTCATATTAGAAAGTGTACTTAGAATGAAATTTTTCTTTTTTTGTATAAAAATTAGTTACGATTTTAATAACATGAGTGCCTTAATAAAATTTCATTTTTACTGTCGTATCAAACCATTGCATGCATCTATAGAACATTAATACAGTATCAACTAGGATGTATATAAAATACACATTTATATTTATAAACCAAATAATCTGGCAATTAATTTAAAATCGTTTAATATCTTAATATATGCTCATTCTGTCACTTTTAATTTTTCATATATATAAAATTTATATACGTTTGTTCAGTAGTGAAATAACTTTTGCATATCACTTAAATTTTTTGTTTTATTCTTTAATTATGCTGTTTTTGTGAATTTAAATTTTGTTATTTACATAAGTGTACATGACATACATACAGGTTTTACTTCCTATATAGTGAAGTAAAACCTGTATGTTATTTACATAAGTGTACATGACATACAGGTTTTACTTCACTATATAGGAACATTAAAATTAACAATGTTGAATTATTTATAATTAATTAATCTCTTAATCTTACATTCAGATCAAATGAATTTTTATTTAATATTTTAGTATCGTATATGGAAACTGTACATAAATAATTATTAGTTACTGTGCTGGATCTTTCTGTTTCTCTATCATATCTATTGATCATGATNACTATTCAAAATGTAAAAGTAAAGAACTTTCATGCTATTATTTACTTTGAAAGTATGTCTTTATTTTTTTATAGATTATTTAGATTTTTATCAGATAAGAAATTATGAATTTACTTTAGAATTACTGTCTAGCTCTAATCTGAATTACAGTAAATTGAAGGTCATTCTTTTGAAAATGTTAATTTATATAACTTTGATTTATATATTTAGTACTTTGACAAAAAATATTATTTTAATAAAAAGAAATTATATTTTATAAAGTGATAATCGTCATTTACATGACTATTTTAGGTAGTGAAAGAATTAATTATATATGTTTTAGAAAATTGTCTATTGTATGATAGTGAATGTGTAGGCTGCTTTTTGAATGAGTTCATCTCTTAAAATTACACAATATGGGTTATAAATAATATGAGTTATTCAATAAAATTTTATGAATTAATAAGAAAATTGTTATATGCTGATATCATTAGTATGATAATCATAAGAGTATGCGATTTACTTAGAAAAATTGTGATACATTTGGAAGTTGATATGAAATCATCACATAGACTTTGGAATTACATATGAAGTAACGTTTTATTTTATTTTACTTTCCCAGGTTTTATAGAATATATTATAAGGAAAGACTGGTGCTCAGTCAGATTTTGAACCTCCGGTTTTTTCTAATTCGAGATGTTTTGACACTTCAGGAACAAGGGTTGGTCCAGAATTTTTGGTGCCCCAAAACTTTTGCACCCTAAGTGAATGCCTAGTGCACCTTTAGCTCAGGACAGCCTTGTCAGAAATCCAAAAATGTAAAAAATACACACAGTTTTGTAAGGATTGGCATCTATTTTGCATTATCATGGGACTGGACAAACCAAAAATTTTCAAACTTGCCAGGATTATTTCTAAATATGGGGTATTGGTGCTATTAAATTTTGGTAATTAAAGGGTCAAGGAGTGTGGAAATAGAGAAGGATCATGTGGCATATCTTGAGTGGAGTTAGACTTAAAATTTTACTCATTATCGGAATTTACGATATTTTTAAAAACTTATGTCTTCTCTCAAAATTAAGATTTTTCCCTATTTATAATAATTAATAATATAAAAATTATTTTTAATAAAATCTCATAAAAGATGGTTCCACACATAATTTTAACTTTGAGCTAATATGTTTTAGTGTTTTGTTGTTATTTAGATTTTATATTGAACTATGATTGAAAATTATTGGATTCCTGGTCCCCTTAATCTCCTCCTGTTTGGGTGCTGGGTACTGCACAAATGACATTTGTTATTTCTTGATTTGCTATATCTTTGTAACAAATGAAGTAGAATGAGTCTACATAGAAATTCTTTATTTTATCCTTTATATGGGAAGATGAAGATCCTAGACTTCACTCCTTTGATTTTTATTTATAGAGCTACATGAAAGTCACAAAATTTAAAAGGAATATATGAAGGAATACATTTTTCTGTACATATGTACTGTACATAATGGGTATTTAATATGCATTCATTCACAAATTGAGTAGAATCATCTGTATATGATTTTAGTTTTCATAGTTTGACTTAAAAATGCTGCATAATAAAATGAATTTTTTGATTATGTATAGAAAATTATGATTTATCTTGTATATTGCATATATAATTTGCACTGTTATGTTTCATTTAAAACAAGAACAAAAGCTTTACTATCCAGCAGAGGTTTAAATTAAAACTAATTGTTCTTGTTTTAAATTTAATGATCCTGTTTTTAACTTCTCTATCTCATTTATGTACTTGCTTTCATATTTATTTCCTTATTGAACAATAATGAATATACAGTAATTGGTTTTGCTAAGAATACGAAGATGTCAAATTTATCTTTATTTTTTTTAATTAAAATATAAACGTCTAGTATCTACGTACAATCGAAGGGTTGAGTGCAATGGTGTTTAAATCCTCTGCAATGTTCAGATTGAGTTTACTTTACAATAAATTTCATTAATTAAAGTTTTTGGCTCCCGAACTAAACAGATGTTTAACTTTATTTATGTATCAGCATGATGCCAAGTTTTATCAATTTTTATGGAAAAATAATTAATTTTTCTATATATTTATAAAATTATGTAGCATAAAATTGATGCTTTTTTTCCTGCTTAAAATACAAATAAAATAATTAAACATACAATTAAATTTATGGATTACGTAATGCTTTACATATAATTTACATATTCTGAAGATAAAGTTATCTTAGTAACAATAAATTTAAGTAGGATGACATGTAGTATTGTATTGTATGCATATTAATAAAACAGAGTTCCTACTTAAAACTTTACTCTACACTTCATGTAATTAATAATAATGTTTATGAAAATATTGTTATATATTTATGTAATTTGTTTTCTTAAATTAATTACAATTCTTAATTCTATTTATATATGATCTTAGTAATTGTGCAAATTGTTTCAAGTAGTCAAGTGAAACTAAAACAAATATAGAAGATAATTATAAATATTAATTAAATTAAATTAAATTAATGTTTTAACAGATGAAAATAGCCCCTCTTATCGAATTTCGCCAAGAGGAAGACTTGGGGGAAGAAGTAGAACTCCATCCGGAAATGATGATTCCCGATATGGAATGGGTTCTATGCCCCAATTATGTTTCCAAGAATATGCTGAGGTTAGTGTAATTAAGTATAATTATATAATGCTTTTATTTTAGGATATGAATGCGTTAGTTAGATTTTGTTAATTATAGCATAATAGGAAAAATTCTAAAATATAAATAACCATAAAATTAAAATTATCATCATCATAATTACATAAATGTTTGGAAACTTTTCTAATACCCACTTTTGTTATATACAACATGAAATATAAATGAATTGAACTATGTATTTTATGTACCTGTATACTGTCACACAAAATTTTCTCAGGTGAGTATTGCAAATGGAAAAATTTTAAAAAACTTTGGTTTAGAACCAAACTTAATATAATTTATTGTTTAGACATTGAATCTATAAGAAATCTGTTATGATAAAACTTCATTAACCTAATTTGCCAATATGAAATGTTTGAATATAAGCAGACTTCTTACAGAAAAACAAAATAGTAAAGTCAAATGTGAGACATTGAATGCATTACCACAGAACCTAATCTCTGAAAAAATAAAATAGTTTGTGCTGCGAGGCATCAAATTTTAATCTTTCGTGCCTATCGAACGAAATGGAACCCGAACAATCGATTTTAACTGTCATTGGTTTATTTCGGAAGATGTTTATTATTAATTTGCTCTACATCATTTTAAATTCTAATGTATTCTTTCTTACTATCAATTATTATTTTTACTAAAATATTTAATATACAGATTAAATTAATGTAAATAATATATAAAACTATAGTCTGTTTTCTGTAACTTTTTGCATGAAATGAGGAAGTAAAGTAGCCGTCTCGTCACTGTATATTATAAAATGTTTCTTTCCACATTATGTATCTCACTGTAGAAGAATGGCAATATTATTATAAAAATATGACCATATGTTAATTATTATGAATTTAGTCCTGGAGACAATTGTTAAAAACCAGGACTGTTTTTTTTGCAGAAGCATGCATGAAGTTATAGCAAACAGAATATAATTACAAAGAATTATTTTAAATATAAAAAATGTGTTCAGCATTGTACCTAACCTAACCTAAAGTGCTATAAAACTCTAAAATTGGACTACTGAAGTGATGAAACTCACCAGTGGCCATGCAGTTCTGTTCCCTGAACACTGGGAGTTTGGTCGTGGTTTCGCACCTTGCCAGGACAGGCTGGCCACGTGGAGGTTTCCTCGTCTGTAACACGTAAATAAGGGCCAGTTGTACTTAAAAAGACCTCCCCAGACAGATCACCTAAGCGTTGCATTGCCATGGCTTAATAAATAAATAAACAAACAAACTGAAGTGGTGAAGCTGATCAGAAGAGAGCCCCTAATATGTATATTTGATATATTAAATATGTAATGAAGTTTTGATACCTTACAAAATAAGTTGAGTAAAAACTGAAGAAACTTTATATGAAATTTTAACTCAATCATAAGTTTTGATTATTCTTTCTATTTATTCTAAAGTATAGAATGGAAAAAATAAGTATTATGTGAATTTATTTCTTAGAGTATATCTGGATCTGATAGAGCAAGTTCATTACTTTTGGAAGAAGAAAGTGATCCAAGTTTTATTTATCCTAGTTGTAGTCAAATTAGCTTATCATCATTTGGAGTAAGTAATATCATAGATAAATTTATATTTAATTCTGTTTTTGAATATAATTCTAACTTTAACATAACAAAAACTGTAATTTTATTTTTTATATCATGCAGTCTCGAAGTGAGAGTATGTCTAGTGTTTATAGTGCTGCTGGAGGCGGTCGGTATGGTACGGTTACTGTCACCGGTGAAGTTCTTTTTGGATTACTATACAACAAGAAGAATGGAACATTAGAAATATACATCAAAGAATGCCGTAATCTCGCTCCTGTTGACATAAAACGAAATCGCTCTGATCCGTAAGTGATAGCATGAAAAATCTGTCTTAAAAAACTAATCGGCTTGCTACTTTTTAAAATTACACATTATTTAGGAGTTGATAACAATTTTAAAAAATAATTTGAATCCAAATATGTGAAGTTGAGTAATGAATATAAATGATAAAAAAAATTAATTATAAAACATAGAACAAAATTAATATCAAATTCTGTGTGTGTTCTACGGATAGATAACAGAGAAATGCTGTTTTGTGTGTATTAAATTTTTATTATATGTGTGTATTAAACTGCATAAATATTAAAATTGTCCTTGAAAAAGTCAAGAGTAACAAGACTAGAAGTTATCCTGTTTAACTTTATATAACTGAAATAATAAATTAAAATGTTTCAAAGAATAATAAAATACGCTAGCCAGATTTTACTTGTACAGTTCATTAATAGCTATGATAATTGAGTTTCTAGAATCCAATTAAAAAATATAAACAAGAAAAGGATGTAAGTAAATTTCAAATAAAATCTACATAGTTGTTATTCCACATATTCAATGAAATATATTTTCTAAGTTTAAATTCATTGCGTGCTAAAAGTAGTATTAAATACAAGGTTTTTTGTTTTACTTATCAAGGTTTTTGCATTTTTTAAATTGTTAACTGTATTTAATTAATTAATTTTTCATTGATTTTATTAATTACATATACATTAATTAGATCAAAATCTACATAGAGTGACCCATTTTTTTGCACGCATGTTTGTACATATGTATAAATAATTTTTATGTGTAATTTTTATAGTAAAAGTGGCAATAATATGCAAGATATTTTAAGTTTTTTTTTTAAATCTAGGAATTTAAGAAATTTCTTTTTTCAATTTTTAACTCTTGCTACTATATTCAGACTGGTCTTACTACATTTTTATAAGTTATATCATTAATTTTTATTTAAATAACTTTTTATTTTTTAAATATCTGTTAAAATTTGATTTATTAGTATTTAATATGGTAAAATTTACACTGAAAAACAGTGTTATTTCTATAACTAGTATTTAGAAATGTAATATTTTATCTGGAAAAACACTTTTAAATACCAAAATTCTACATTTAGTAAATTATCAAATGACTTATTATCCAATGCAATCTGCATTATTTTAGAGGTAGAATATATTAACCTGTCATCCATTTCTTTTTTTTAAACTACACTATGAAAATATTAATTTCAAGCAGACCAGATGGCTGAGGCATTTAAGGCATCAGCCTAGCATTATAGGGGGTGATCTGGAATTGAATCTGGATAATCAAATCTCAGGAATTTCTTTGAAGATGGTCTGTCTCGGATGCAGTGGGCCCCATCTGTTCAAATCCACAATGGACCTAAAAATACCCTCTCATTATCCACAGAACACAGAGTCAAAAAATATATATATATATTGGATCAACTTAAATAATAAATATGGAAATATTTAATGCAAAATTTATCATTCTATGTTTTTAATGTTAAAATTCTGGTTTAACAAACAATAGAAAGCTTGGATTTTCCGAACTTAAGAAAACGGGTTAAAATGCAAACTCAGAAGTATTAAAGTTTTGAGTTATTTTGCTTGTGTAAGACTAGTTATTCCTGTTTCTACTACTGTAAGCCTACTGATTTTTTAATATGATGGATATTATTATTCTATTATAACTAACTCTTCTAATATTTTCTACTATATCATAACAATTTTTTTTCTGTTTACACAACATTCTTTTGCTTCTGTATGAGAAAGGACGCTAAATTAAATTTAAAAACCTGTTAAATATTTTGCAGTTGAATTTTTCAATTAAGACATACATATAAGTTGTTTGTATGTACACTGAATGTGTATGAAGATGAAACTCTCAATATAATGTATGGTCTCTCTGGAGTGTGATATTTCTTTTATGATAAAAAGATTTACTACTCCTACTCTATACTCTACCACTCTAATAGAATCTGCTTATACAATTTTGTAGTTTTGTAAGAGAAGATTTTCATTTCTCCATGCTTAGAAAATCATACAAACACCTTTTGTATGTTTCAACAATAGAAGTTATTCCATAGATAAAAATATGTTTTTTCATCTTTGGAACAGCTTCTAGCCTGAAGCAAGCCTGTAAATTAGGCTGAAAACATTTGTTCTGTATGTAAAGTTAGTGCTGAAAATGCACAGAAGGTTTTATCCAAATATATTCCAGCTTTTAAAAGATAATTGTATTCTATGCTTATCATCTCACAAAATCCTGCATGTGATTCACAGGTTTGACGTAAAGTTGAATCTCTAAAGGACTATTGCCAGTGTGCAGTAAATGAGCATTCCTGTTTATTGAACACATCTTATGGAGAAAATGTGTGATAAATTTAGATAACTTTTTTTTATTTTTGTTGTTTAAGCACTATAAAGTGTAATTAATTGAACTTTATAGTGCTTAAACAACAATAAACACATAATGACGCAGTTTCTGATTGGAAAAAATTTAGATAATTTTTTTCTAATATCTTCAATGGGTATATTCTGTTTAACCAAAATTTTAAAATATTCAACAACCTGTTTTAGTTACACAAAAAAACAACAGGTTGGTAAAATGGGTATTATTAAATAACTTTTCAAGGTACAAACAACCTTAATTTTCACTCAAGTTCTTTCAGTTAAGTCTATTTAACTTTTGTCAGGATTGAATGAAATGGAAAGGAACATAATGTTAAATTTTAAAATTTGTTTACAATGTGTTTGTTAATACGAAGCTAAAAACTAGCAATATTTGTCTGATAACCATTCATAATTCACTTTGATAACCACTTAAAAGGGTTTTTTGGACAAATAAGCCAAAACATTAAATCACAAGTTGGTTTAGTTCTTAACTAGAGTTTTGATTCTGAAAGCTTTTTAATTAAAATCTTATTGAATTTTAAATGCCTTCTTAATGGACTTAAGCAAATGATTTTCAAATATGTATTGTTTAAAAGTAATTAATTATTTTAAAAATTCAAGCAAGAGAAAGAAAATTTGTAATGATAACAACTGGTTTTGCATATTTGGCATTGTGAAACCATTGTTTTTCTGAATAAATTATTTTAATTTAAATATTATTATGTGTATATATTTCTATTGAGTTTATTTATTATATTAACATTGATCAAATTTTTTAAAAAATACTTTTATTTATTATTTTAGATACGTTAAAGTTTATCTTTTACCTGATCGGACCAAGAGTGGAAAAAGGAAAACTAAAGTCAAGAAACACACTGTTAATCCTACTTTTGATGAAATACTGAGAGTAAGTTAACTTTTTAAAATTGATTTTATTGAATAGACTTCACAAAAATTTTGAAATTACTGAAATAAAATAAATAACAATACAAATTTAATTATTAATAACAACATTAAATATTGTTTACATGTTTTAAGTTTCTATTTCATTTTGTGTTAACATAGGATATATTTATACAAATATTTATAATAAATACAAAATTTACAAACCAAAAATATCTTAGAATTATTAAGTATAATGTCCTTGTTAGAAAATTCTGAAAAAATAAATGAAATTCAGACTCAGGGCAAAGATTTTTCTCTTACTCTCATCAAGGGTCAACAAGAGGAAGCAGCTGACTTTTCTAAACAGTACTTGACCCATGAAAAAACAGTTTTAATTAGATTTTATTAAGTATATTTTGTACTTCATTTTGTATATATAAAATAAACAAAAATTATAAAAATCCAGACGAACAACATTAACATAATTTTAAATATCAAATGAATAGTCAAATTCTTTATTGGTTTATAAGGCTGAATAATTACCAAAGCAAATTTGACAGGAGGAAGGCTATCAAGCTGCCATCACTATTTAAATGTGATTATTATAAATAAATTAATTTAATTTTAGACTGTTCTGGAGTGAAAGATCAGCCGTTACTCTAATAATATTGCCATGGTGGCCAAACTGTGGCTTGTGAGCAGTGTGCAACTCTTTTAGACCTTTATTGTGGCTCCTGTATAGTTATACAATTCATTTTTATGAACCTAAATATTAATGAAAGTTTTTGAAAAGCAGGATAAATTATAGCATAATTTTATTTTGTAATGTCTTATCTATTTTTATCAAGAGCCTAGTTAGTTTTCTAATGGTGCATTACATAAACAAGGGTTCAGTTAGTGCCAGACCTGGACTTTACACTGGCAAGAAGTAACAAAAATTGTTAATGAATCAAAAACCCAAAATAATTACTATACAAAATGACAAAATAATCTATTTATTCTTTTAAATAGTACGATAATGAAGTAACAAAAACAATAACACACAACACTGGGGTGTAGTAAACAACAGACATCGTGGAAGCCTTTAACCAGGCAAAGCTAATCCTCACTTCGTCCCGCACAGAACACCTAAGATGGTTGGAGGCCATTCACATTTATAAATCTAGCCTTATTGTCACATGCATCAATTATAAAGAGGAGTTGGTTTTGTTAGTAACCTGGCAGGCACTGATTGACACTGATGTTTAAATGTCAAGATCTGCTAGCCAGACAAATGTGCATGCAGTACATGATAAATATTTCTTGAGCATTGGATTTGAATGATTCATCGAATATTTGTAGTCCAAATGTTTTGTGTTTTGTCAGAATTCCTTTTAACACCTGAAGAAGAACTTAGGGGAGTTTGAAAACGTTAGTGGTGAACTTTCTCTTTAGTTTTTTTCATCGCACACCGGTCATTGGTTCATAGGGTACAAAGTAGCAAAATTTCAAAATATACTAAATACTAAAAAGATATTTTATCAAATCCATATATCCATATCCAAAAATATATATATATATATGCATATATAGGTTATAACACACACATTATCAATGAAACTTGAAACACTTACTTTAACCTCGCTCAATCTTTAGCATTACCTTGTTCGATCTCAAGCTTTACCTCCTTCTTATAGTGCAGTATTGTCACAGTAAGGTGAGTTTTAGTATTAGAATTTTGCTCTGGTGAGATGCAGTAGTCTATCCTTAATGAAATAAAATGCTAATTTTCTATTGGCTATTAATATGCCTCAAACCCAAACTTATCATAATGACACAAATGAGTTTAAGGTAGCTGTGTTTTCATTTCATTTTTATTGATTTTAATATGCATTTTGGACATATAAAATACCCAAAAGAAATAGCATAATGAACTAAAAATAATCCCAAACAAAAATTAAATGGTTTGGAATCGACTACTTACAATTTATTTAAATATGTTTATTTGCAAAAATTACAAAACTAGTAATAATGATTCCACAGATTGATGACAAAATTGTGAAGTATTTACTTCAGTTAATGCTAGTTTGCAGCACAGCATTTCTTTCACAAAATAAATCGGGGAACATAGAGGTAGGAGTCTGACTTTGGTGTTATTGCTTTATATATATATAAAGTACATAGGTTATATATAAAATTCCAATAGAGGATGCAGCAGCTATCACATATTTCTGATATGTGGTATATAATTCTTATTGTGATAAGGTTCAGCCACCTCTACAATATTGTATAATTTAGAATTATATTCTGCCCTTCCTAATAATTACATCTTTTACTTTTATTTTTTTTTAATCTAACACATCCATTTTATCTAATGAGTATTAACCCTCTATAAGCTTGTGAAATTTGGCAAAATGATTCTGTAATACTCTGTAAATAAAGTAACATAATTTAATGTGGAAAAGACTTTTTAACATTAATTTAATGCCATAGTTATACATATCTTAAGTACTTATTTTAAAAGATTCCTCTTTTAAAATGAGCAGTTAGAGTGATTGCTCTTTGAATCTCTCTTAGAGTTGAGCTTTAAAGACCCAGCATGTATTAGACCATGAATTCACACCATAAACAATCAATAACCAGACAGTACATTAAATGGACACTATAAAAATATTTTATAAATCAATTCAAAATCTTAAAAATATTATATATTTTATTTTGCCATTATTAAATATCAGTTTTCTATAATTCTATTATTTAAATATTTTTAGTTTCCTGTAACTTTAAATGAATTGGAACAACGTACGCTATGGCTTTCTGTTTGGCATAGCGATATGTTTGGACGCAACGATTTCTTAGGAGAAATTTTATTAGCGCTTGGACAAAAATTACTTGAAAATTCTGGTCTTAAATGGTATCCTCTACAAGAAAGGGTAAATATTTATTTTATTTTTTGTTTATTCTTCATTTATTTTGATATAATTCTTCATATTATCTAGTTCATCTTATATTTATCAGTTTTTCTTGTAGTTTCTACTAAATCAAAATGCAAATTTATTCAGTAAAACACTTATGATTCTTGTAAGTTCAGAAATTTAGTTTAAAGCTAGTGTTGTTAAAAATTCTAAGTATATTTTGAATACTTTGTCTTTATTTTGGACAAGGTAAAATGTAGTGAAGTGTCTGTAACTTTCTAGAAGTTTGGTTGAAAAATTTAAGTAAAAGCATATATGCTTTTACTTAAATTTGCCTATGGTTTTTTTAAATTTATATGTTATTTTTGAGAGGAACAGAATTTGAAATACTAATACACTTAATTTTCATTTTTTAAATGGAGTAAAAATTTGTAAGATGATTAGGAAGATCCCCACAGTAATTAGTCTTAATTATTACTAGAACTGCCAGCTACTGTACTCTACCTAGAATTCTATTTTAAACCAGTCATTTTGATCTATTCTCATAAAAATTCCATAAAACTGATAAGTAATAACATTTTCAAGAAAAACTTTATGTTAACTTTAGTTGAAATACAACAATAATACAGTTTGTGAAAGTATAAATATTTGAAATTGAAACTCAATTACATGTTTCTGAATATAATACACTGTATTGTAGTGTGTTTTAACAAAGTTTTTACATACACTTCATGATAAATTACAAAAATTACACATTAAATAAATTGTCTTTTGGCATTAATGTCTTTTTATAAACATAAAATATACATACAATTACTTTCAATCATGTATTACAACTTTGTCAGGCTAAAATTTCTATTTGATATTCTATTATACAAAAAATTTTTGCCTGACAAAGATGATAATCCATCATTAGAAGTACTTGCATGTATCTTTTATGTTTATAAAAAAGTTGTTAACACTGAATGACAGTTTGTTTAATGTGTTATTTTTGTAAAGTGTTTTATATTGATGAAGCACACATATCCCCTTTTTTGTTTACATTGATTACATATATCCAAAATGTTATTTTTCATTTAATCATTTGACATGTATATCATTTCTTGGAATTTTTAAATTTAAGATATTTTATTTGTGTGTTGACACTAAAAATATATAAAGTGACAGGCTTAAATATGCTTTTACTTAAATTTTCTTGCTCTTTGATTTAAGACTTCAACTCCATATTATATATTGTTATAAAATAATAGTATTTTACATCACTTTTTTCACTTACATATAGAAATTTTCCAACCAAACTTTTTGAATGTTACCGATACTTCATTACATTTTACCTTGTCCAAATAAAGACAAATTATCGTTGCTGTTACTGTTCAATTTGACTAACAGCAGCAGCAATTACAACAGCAACAACAAACTGATAAACTAGTCAGTCAATCTGGTTACTTTATTGGTCTACTTTACAATATACATTTCACAATAGCAAAGAAGTAGGTAAATATATATAATTTTGATTTTATAATAAGGATGAACTCCAGTTATTGCAGTTTGCTAAATTAATCAATGCACCTCTAACAGTGGGTAAATTTTAAATAATGCCATTTACAATGGGCCATTTTTGGGCTTTCTTCTTAATTGTCCGCATTAACGGGATTGTAGACTTCTCTGTTTTTTAAATTTTATCCATTGTTGTTAAAGGTGTATTAATTTAGCAAATTTTATTTTATTACATGAAAAATCAAAAACAATATCATATTTGTAAAACCAATGTTATATACTATAGCAAATTAAAAAAATAAATAAATAAAACTGGTCAAAATGACCAATCTGGTAGTTCTAGTGTTAATTAATTAGTAAATGTAGGAAATTTCATATGTATTAAAATTATTTATTGATTTGAATGTGGTGAGATTTACCCTTCAAAAGTGCTAAACAATAGATGAAGATTCCTGGAAGATGATCAATGTGAGGGATGCAATGACAAAGGCACCTCTCAACGGCAAGAAGGAGAGTTAGTAGTCACACGACGAGAGTAGTTAGACTTTTGTCCCACCATTAATCGTGTAACCAATTTCGAAAGGACAATAAATGTATTGTTCACAGCCCCTTTGTCTGTGTTATTGCGCATAGTCACAACAGACCATTTGTTATATTTAAGAGATTATTATTAATATATCTAAAATAAAAAATATATATTTTGTAGTAATTCCTCAGATAAGTCATACAATACTTGTAAATACTTAAGAAAAATGCATAGATATAAATTTCAACAACCTGATACTTTAAATAAAAATGCTTTTGAAATATGAGAAAACTGATCTATTTAACGGTACTTATATAGAGTCTAACACAATAAAATCCACGAATTTGTAGTATTTTACGTTAATTTTTATAAATAATTGATATATTTCTTACTCTCAAACACATTTAACAAATTAAAGTTTCATTTCTGTAATTAATTTTAAAGTCAATAAGTTTTTTCCAATTTCCTGATGATATCATGATGACTAATCTTAAAATGTTATGCATAAACATTGATGATAATTAAAATATCTTTTAGAATAAATAATAATAATAATTACTTTAATGACTAAAGAATGTTTTTGACTTCTATATTTGGCTCGTTCCAATTCAAACTGGCTTCTGAATAATCATATATTCATTTGAAAATGAATCAGTTCACAAAAATTTGTTAGTCGTATTAAAATTCTTTTTTTCGGAATTCATTTACATGAAAAATTTCTCTAAATTTTAGTTTCTTTGATTAAAAAAAATGTAAAAAATTCATTTTTTTCATCATTCATTATTATAGACTATTTACAAAATATATACATTGTTTATTTTAACCATAATTATATAATTTTTATGTAAGAATTTTAATTAGTAAAGCTAATATAAAGAATATTTGATTAATTTGGAAAATTATATCCTTAATTCTTGTGAATTATAATTTCATACTTATTACATTGAGGAATCATTAACTTGAAAGTTAAGCAAAGGTCAACAGACAGTTTGATCTGATTACTTTTATGAAACTATATTGAAACTGTATTATGGAATTTTCTGTTGCTTAAAACATTGAATAAAATAAAAATTATTTATTTAATAAATTCATTAAAATTACCCTCAAATTTTTCATAAATTTAATTATAAAGTGATTTAAAGATTACAAACAAAATAAACGTATTTCTGAACCTCTTGTAAATGTTTAAACTTAATTATTTTCATTTTATATTTGAATAATATATATATAATAATGACCAGATAGCTAATATGATATAGATATGAGTCTTTCACTCTAGGAACCAATGTTAAAAAGGGATCATATTATTGGTAATCAGTCAAAAAATACGTCAATGAATATACCTATAATTTGATATTTTTTACTGGTTAATTTGGTAAAAAATATGTAGACGTGTAATAATTTTTTGAAGCCAAATATTTGTGTACACACTTGTTTATATTTTAATACATTAAAGACAGAAGATCAAATGCTTTTATTTAAATCAAAAATGTAGTTTACAACATTAATCTTTTAAATTATTTCTTTACAATTTTAAAAGTATCATTTTACATCACCATGCTGTAGAGTTTGGCAATTTGTTTCTTAATTTGTAAAACTTAGATTGCAATAACAAATTTCAATATTTTAGTTGACAAAATGGAATACGTTTATTTGAAAGTGAGCACATCTATTGGCCATTAAATTGGTCTTAAAGCATTAAAGATTGTTTAGTTGCTGACCCAATAATGAGTTAGCAACTTAACAATTTTCGGCATGTCCAGAGTAAAAATTGAAAAATTACTGGTATAGTTTTAAGTCGGTAAATTTGCAACCTCAAATGTTAATGTATGGGCTGGCACCGTAGAAATTTTCATGGATGGTTTAATTGGATATGTTGGCTTTGTTCCTCACCAACTAATTTAACTCAAGTTCATGAAAAATGGATCTTTTTTATGTGTTTTATCTAGCATTTTACTTATTAGAAATATTTAATATATTTTTATCTTATAATCTTTTCTGTAATTAATTTTATTATTAATTTAATTAACTATATTAATAAAAATAATATTTATTTTATGAATAGTTGGATACTTTAGAGTCACCCTTCACTTTCAAAGGAGATTTGTTTCTTGCTTTAAAATATGTTCCTGCAGATCTAAATATCAAAAAGTACAAATATCCTGGACTTTTTGCTAAAGGTTCACTTCACGTACTTATGAAAGAAGCAAGAAATCTGATGGCAACACGTTCAAATGGTACATCTGATCCTTTCTGTAAAAGGTAAACATGATTTTTTTTAATATATATATATTTTTTGAGACTCTGTGAAGTGTTGCTACTAGACACTGGACTTTTTTGCATCTGCTTTATTTTCTTATTCACTTCACAGTCTTTAAACTAATTGTTTCAATTGCCAATATGCATTTTGAGCTGGTGCACCTCATCTTTGGCTAACAATATTTATCAATACACAGGGGCGCCGCTAGCTGTTTGAACTCCCGTGTGCAATACCGATTATGCCGCACCCTGTTTAACTACGACTACCTATGCTGAGCTTGCCAGAAAGGCTCTTTGCCGCCCCCCTGGACGTGCCGCCCGCGTGCGGTGCACGCCTTGCACGCCCGCTTACGGCGGCCCTGTCAATACATAATATTAGCAAAATATCACTTTATAAAAACTTTTAATTTTAGACATACCTGATACACGTTCCCTACTGCAATTTTTATTCTATTGTTAACATACATAACTCTAAAACAACACCGTGGTCAGTAAACCAGTTAGAAACTCCTAAAACCATACAATGCTTAATTCTCCAATAAAAATTTTACTTACCTCGATGTAATTTTCATTTAGGAAATTACTTGTATATTATTTTTATTTATATTACAGTTAGAATGTACAATGTTCATGAAAATATTGTCAATTTAAAACACAATAAAATTAATTCTGTTATGTTTTAAATCAAGTGCAATGATCACTTTTTCTTTGCAGCTCTGCCTTATTTCTATCATGTGATGTCCTAGTATACACTATGGGCTGCACAGCCTTCTTATATCTATCCATTCATCTACAGGCTGTGGCCCAATTTGCATACAGTGAGAGCCAGAGATTGGGTATACCTGTCAGAAATCACCACTAAATTCTAGCACTGATGGGCACACTGCCACTATCACCCAGCTTCACTGCTTGTGGATCATTTCAAAATCATTTCATGATAAGACTGGAACTTCACATGGTACCCTTTTGCTAAAAAAAATCAAACTTTGGCCTCTCTCATCTTTATCGACTAACAATTCAGTTCTGCTCGATCACTACTAGCTCTGCAGGTATATAAATATATGCATAGAGCAGGTGATCAAGTTTTATCTATATCTATATGTAAAATATCTATATATAAGATAAAAGTGCAGGTAAAACTAGAATGGATATTCTACACAGTAAAGGAAAATAAAAGTAGAAACAGCTGCAACCAGGAATTGATGAATTGTCAAAAATTTTTGAATAAGTGAACAAGCAAAGTACTTTTAAAAAGTGGTCAAGTTTTGTTTCTTGTTTTTTCAATGGAATTATCACATCAGTTGTCTCTTTCTGCTGAAAACTCAGTCACACAAAAGAATGAAGAATCATTCTAACAGTTAGCTTACACTGACAAATCAGAAAACAATTTATATTTGCTTAGTGAAATTGATTCATACTACGAAATGTGGAAAGCAAAAATTTTTAATGTATGGGACTGACGGAGCGATTTACTAAACAGGAAAATTTGCCAGAAACAGTGTCACATGTATTATTCACTTTGTTTTTTGTATTTATCAGCAATTTGTTATCAGTGGACTAACCCAAAGTTAATAATAATTTGCTTTTCTGCTTATTTTAATAATTGCTTTAAATTTTTCCATTTCAAAGTGAATAAGTGAGAAAATAGTGCTTTAGAATATCAAAAATAGTTACATATGAGTGGGAAATCTATTGCAAAAAATGTACAACTCAGAAACATATAAATGGAGTTAGAGTGTGTTATTTAAATGGAAATTTATTAGTAATAATCAAAGTAACAATTCTTAAGATGGATATTCAGATTTTGGATTTGAATATTACTAAAGTTGCCTAAATCATTTTAAGTTCTAGATACTACATATTTTCTTTCTAAATATTTTACAGTAATCTATAAATATTTATATGTAAAGATATTTTATCTACATAAAAACTAGATGATATATTACAAAAACATTTTTTCAAATAGAGAATGTATATAATTTTTATAGTGTTATATGAATTATATGACAGTTTATAGAGTTACATTTTCATTCACTTAGTGATGGATTCAATATACAGTATGATATAGAAAACTTTGAATTTAGCTGTAGTTTCGATCTATGGTAAAGACATTCACACTATGTCCTATTTCTCAAACAATTCTTGCTAATGGTTCCTATTAGGAGAATGGAAGAAGTATTGATTGTGTTGGATAGGAAATCATAAGAGGTTTCATCGGTCCTCTTTGGTGGTGATGTGTGTATTGGATTCTCCAGAGAGCTTTATGGTACACTTATGGTACTTTCTCCAGATCACCCTTTAGAGCAAAATCTTAGTTATGCCACTGATTATTAAGAAGGTTTTTTGGCTGCAATTTGAAAAACTGTAGGCTTATTAATTTCCACTGTCATTTGTTCGTCTGTTTATCTTTCCTTAATTTCAAGAATGGAGTTAGATATATAAAAGACAAGACCAGATACGGAAACTTTAGAGGCACGAGGCCCCTATTAACTATATATGAACTTCTGATACAAACTGGAAGTCACATTATATTAATTCATAAATTTTCCCCAAAAGATGTTAGATAGATGACCACCCATGACTCTGTTGTTAAATAAAAAGTATGATGTACAAGGGCAAGCCACTGCTAATTTGAGGTGGAGACCATATATTTTAAATTATATAAATTAAAAATATGATTAAATATTGCAGCTTGGCATCGTGACAATGTTATAATAAATAATTGCTCATTTACAAAAGGAAGTTTTTGTGTTCTGTTGATTCTGTGGCAATATGAGATCTTTGCAAGTTTCATCTTTGTAGAACTGTAATCAAAAATAATTAGTTTTACAAAGACCTTCTTTCTTTTAGACTTCCTTTCTAATTCTAGATCTTTTTTCTGAAAAAAAGAAGAGAAACCTAGAATTAGAAATAGATTAATTAATGCATTAGAAACAGGTATTTTAGTATCTCCTAAACGTTTTTTTTTTTTTAACACTAAACTCCTATTAAATTTTTTCTTGAAATTCTATAAATATATTTTTGTTTTATCTCTTCTATTGTTAAACAAATGCACAATTTCCTTTTTATCTTTTTATTATAAATAATAATAGTCTGCTACTATTAATACAAACTTTGAATATAACAAAGGTGTAGTAACCTGATATAATTTAACTTGCAGTACCATTTTATAGAAAGGAGATGAGAAAAAAGATGATTTCCCACACCCTTTGAATTACCATATATTAAAATTATATATTTAGCTAATTATTCCTGGATGTATATCTATATTGTACCTTTCAAATCTTTTGTTTTATGGTTGAAATGACAAAAGTATCTGCCTGCTGCTCTGGGATGTAAGTTTAAATTTAGATTTGAACCTTAAAATTTTGGTGAGTGGTTTCATCTGCATACGTTGGACTCACTATTAAGGTGCTTGCATTGTCAGTCTACCAGAACTGCTGTGAAAAAAAAATAATTGTTTTGGTACTTGTAGCACAGAAAGAGTCTTAAAAAGTCTTTTATCTATGTGTAACTTACAATGTTTGTCAGTTACACATAAATGTACAATGATTCAATGATTATATCAAATGATAACTTGGATAAAGGATAACCAGTTATGAACTTCCAAATTGATTCATAGAAAGGGTCTTCCAAAATGAATGTACCATTTTAAAATACTGTAATTAATCAATTAATAATAATACACCAATTGATAGAGTAACTGTCCAAGTTTTATCTACCGTCTTCATTAAAAGATCTTGTTATTTACTACCTTTGGATGTGCCATAAACAAAAATGGTAACTTCACAGTGAAGAATGTGTTTTGTGTTCTACAGTTTGCAAAGTTGAAATGACTTACCATTATGTATAAGTACACATCATCATAAGTAATTTGAAGGAGCTGTATGATTGTGGCTGCTGTGGAAGGAGTTACAATGGATATGCTATAGTGAATGTAGGAAGCAAGCAAGCAAATCTCAAGGAATTTTTCATGTGTGGTCTATCCTCATCACCCAGCTATCTATCCCCCATTCAAATCCATGTTGGATATGGAAAAAAGGCTATCTTAATGTCCACAGGATGGAAAGAGTTAATAATAATAAGTCAAATAAATATGAAATTTAACAATAAACACTTAACAACCGAAAATTTAATTTTAAGACTTAGTAAAATTTCCTTAACTTTTTATAAAAGTAATTTATATTGATTTGATCTAAACATTTTATGTTTATTATTATATCTACATATTGTATAATAAACCAATATATATTATTTATATATAAAATGAAATGTTGTTTTCTTTATATTTTAGTTATCTCTTGCCTGACAAGAGTAAAGCTAGTAAGCAGAAAACTCCTGTTGTAAAGAAGACATCAAATCCAAAGTGGTATCATACCTTTGTATACGAAGATGTCACATTAGATGACTTAAAAGAGAGGTGTTTGGAACTGACCTTATGGGATTATGACAAAATTACTAGCAACGACTTTTTGGGAGGAGTGAGATTGAGTCTTGGAGCAGGTACAGTCACATTTTGCATTTAATTATTTTGGATAGTGTTAAAGATTGTTAGAAAACTTAACTATAAACTATGTTTTGATTCATAAATGTGTATATATTTGGAATAGTTAGAACTGATGTATAACCTGTTTGTTTTCTGTCCGAGCATGACTAAGAATTGAGTCAATGCTAGCGAGTCAATAATATTGTTTGGGGGATCATCCATGATGATCACTTGCTGCTAACATGGCAGTGATGTTATCACTGGCAAACTAGAAGATTGAACTGAAAGTTCTAATTATTATTCTTATAGCATTTTCTAAAAATGCTGTCAGACACACAAAAATAAAAATAACTTATAAACACATTCTCAGCTTCTTCAGGCTACTAACAAATGGCAAAGACAATATCAAAACAGTTTAGCTCAAAGAGTATACACAATCCCAGTGCAGGATGATAGATTTATTTGAAAACTGACATGTGTAGATGTGACAAACAGATCGTCAATGCAAAGAATAAAAGAACATAAATATGATATTAGTAAAAATAAACACACTACGGCACTGGCCCAAATAGCAAGCAAAGCCTGGGATGTTGGCATGCTGGGACCAAGTAAAACTGATAAAAAGAATTTTTCAAACCCATAAGCTGAGAGCATTAGAAGTACATGAAATATTCCTTACTTTGAGAGCAAGTCATTGTATAAATAATTAAGAAAAGGAAACGTTATCAAAAGCCTGGCAATCACTGGTGGATAACCTCATATGGCGATCAAATGACATATACTCTATTGTAATAAATATCAAATAAATCTGACCTACAACAAGTTATATTAACCCTTCTTTTCACTTTATTTTATATTTTTACCTTCTTTGCCATTTTTTTTGTTTTATTCTTATTATATGTAATTTATATGTAGTTTATTCTTATTATTTGTAATTTTACTGTACAGTAAAATTACAAATATACTTCGACCGACTTACGCTACCCCAACTTACACGAACCTGAAGTTACGCGATTTTCGAATCTTGTCAATTCGTCTTTTGTTTGAGCGCCATGCAACTCTTGATTACTCACTCCCCCCTATTGTTTAGCTTATATGTTCAGACGTGTTGCACGGAATCGACACATGGCTACAATTTTTTTCTGTTTGTGTTATTTATTTCTGTGTTTGTTATATTTACAGAGACTTGAGAGACTCTATGTGGTCATTTCTTGTAATCGTGAATGAATCAAAAGACGAGATAAGATTAACGAAAACATTTATTAGCTTACATACATGCGACATGGATTTTACACAAATTACAAAATTATACCCTGACTTACGCGAATTTGACTTACATGGTTATCGCTCAGTCCCACCTATCGCATTCAGGGTATTACTGTCGTTTATTTCATTATATTGGATTCATTTTACAATGTGTTTATCTCTGCATTGAATTTTGTAATATTTTTTATGTATATATTATGTTTAATATCCAGTTAAAATACTTAGTTGTTCACATTCAAAATCATTTCAAATGTTTTAAAAAAAACACTGTATGAATGATAATTAGAAGTTTCAATTGAAATCTTTCAGTTTAAACATTAAATCTGATACAAGCTTATAAAAAGGGTCAAACATTTGCTTGAATAAAATAGTGTTGCTGGGAAAAGTACTTAAAGTGTTGTTCACTCTAAATTAGTTTCAGCTTTGATGGAAGTGTTTTTTATTACATTTTTGTATTTCTCATTACAATTAATATAAAATAGTAGTTTTATCAAAATTAGCAGATCAAATCTCAATTCTGTAAGCCACTTCCTAACATACTTATTGGAGAAACTTATATTTATTTTTTATTTTCTTATACAAAATTCTTCATTAACTTTTACTGTATGATGCAGTAAGTAAAGCTTGTCTTTATTTTGACAATATAAAATGAAATGTTGTGTTGAAACAAATACAAAATAGAATGAAATGGAAACATGCTATTGTAGCCATTCTGATAAGTCATTGTTTGACTTGTCAGAATCTATGAAAATAATTGGAATAAAACAGTCGCACTATTTTAATTAATCTGTGATCTATAATTTTAACAAATTAATCAATTTATGAAAGATATTCAAAATGTTTTACATTACAATTAAGTATCATACCTTGTGTAAAAATACTGCTTTTCTATACAAACCACAAACATTTTACTTTTATTGTTTTACGACAGTTGTCAAGGTGTGACAACCTGCCTTGCCTCAAGGTTGGTTGCCTGAAAAATCGGGGTTGATTGTCACACACATATTTTAAATAATAAATTTAAAAGTGTAATAAGCGGACATAAAATGTAAGACAAAGGAATTTAATGACGATAAATATGTGAATTTAATATGCAATCTTTGTGGACTTAATGCATATCAAATAGTAGCATTCCTGTACATTTTTTTTTACAAGATTCTGCTTTATATTTTGGTTTGTTTTCTCTTCTTTTGAATGCTATTCTTTGAAGAATGAATAGATGATTTTTAGGCAAGATAATGATTTGTTTTCCTAATTTTTGCATTGTTTAATTTGTTTATTTGATCAGTGTTCTTTTTGGGGTGACAAACCAACATTTATAACCTACAAAACAATAAAAGTCATAAAAGAAAACTATGAATTTCACCTAGCAATTATATGAACACAAATATATGCATGTAATAAAAGATGCAACACAGATATAACCAGTTTTTCCAATGTGGAAGACACAGGAAATACAGTATATATTTTTAATTTCTCACAAATTTGGTTTTAGTACAATATAAATTAGATTAATAAGAACGATTCATATGCTTTACTTACGAATAAGTTACAATTTTCACTGCTAATGCATCATTGCATCATTTAAAAATAATTAAGCATACTAATAAGTGATATAAATGCTTTCATATATTAATTTTAGTAAGATTTGGAACAGAAATAATGTAAAATGAGATTTGAATTATCATCTGTTGAATTCTATAAAGTCTAAAATTGGAATTTTCTTAGAAAATTTAAACAAAAGAGCTAGAATATTTTATATGTTTCATTTCGTATGCAAATTAAAAGAAGAATTTAAATTCACTTGCATCTGCAAACATTCTGTATCAAAATATTATGATGATATAATAATTCTTTGTGTGAAAAATGATAGATTTTTAAAAATTTATATTAATTCATATGCTAATAATTAAAGATGTAAATTTGGTGATAAGTTAACTAAAAGTGTTTGTTGTTTTTAATATCTGTAGGAAAATCGTGCGGTCGAGAAGTCGACTGGATGGATTCGCGCTTCGAAGAAGTGTCGTTATGGCATGCAATGTTGGAGAGGCCCAACATGTGGGTCGAGGGATGCCTTTTGCTTCGTCCCACCATGCAGCCCCGTCGGGTTTGAATCGCAGAGTTAAAAATGCAAAAGTGGATACCTCAACCGAAACAACTCTGAATTTGCAAATATGGTTTAATTGCTTCAACACTTCTTTCGTAATTATTTTTATAAAAAGATATATATACATAAATATATATATATACACACACATATAAATATTTAGAGAGATTAATTTTTTATATAAAATGTTTTTCTAACCATAAAAATTTGACATAGTTGTTAAATTTTACATTAAACACCTCTGTGCCAAATATATAGAACAAAACATTATTCTCATACCATTAAATCTCATTTAAATTTTTGATCATTGTCACTATCAGTAATTCATAGTATTGAAGCACATTTTAAAAAATATTTTACCATTATTATAAATGTCATGTAAAATTAATTACAATGATATAATGTAAAATAACTTCAGGATTAATACAGAAATTATATATTTTAAATCTTATAGTTAATTTTAAAGTTGAAAGAGGCAATCAACTTTGTTATATTATCAATGCCTAGTCAATGTGTCATAATTATGGGCTGAACTTGTATGTTATTAACAAAGTTAAGATATCAATGGGGTTGTTTTGTAGTATTTGAAATTGACTACATCATTGATTCGATTATCTGGCTACATTAAAGCTGCTTTATTAGGCTACATGCTTAACAATTGACTCTATCGATCACTTCTTATGATGCCGATTAGTGATAAAGGTGATCATTTCTACTCATCATCAAACACTTGTTATAACTTTGTTGCCCATGTGAATCAGCTTTAAGTCAGCTACTAGTATGTTAAATTTCTTTGAAAACACCTTGAGGCTAAGCCAAAAAATGATTAATATATAATTCAAGAATGTTTTTATGGTTCCTATATTTATCCTGAAGTTCTTTACACAAAGTCAAAACAGTAAAATATTTTATTGAATTACAAAGTCGAATATAATTCTAGCAAAATTGTAATTAAAGTAAAAAAAAACTTTAGTTTAATTTCAGTATTGTTAAATAAAACTTAACAGATTTTATTAACATTCCATTGTATGAGTGACATGCTCATATCTTTACAAACGTACAAATACATTTTTTTATGTATATATAAAATGGAATGCAAAGTATTCTTTTGAAATGATTAAGGAACCGAATTGGATGGCGGAAAATATTTATATGCAGAGGAATGTTGATTTTTCCATTTTATATATTTGAAATTTCATACAGGTGTTGAGAGCAAGAAACCATTTTGCAAATACCATTAAATCGATGACATTTTGTTAGAAGTTTGAAACAGTATATTTTCAGTACAAAATGTTACGTGTGACTATTGTTATTTTCCCTTCCTGCAATTTTAAAAGAGTGTATAGATGAAGAAGAAGGAAATTTATCCTTTTTTTTTTCCGCCCGGAATAAGAAACGAAAGGCAGATATTTAAACATAAGTTCCTACGATGACGTTTTGTCAGTTATATAGATCTCTTGTATGATGCTGCCACATTTAATTCATTTAAAGGTCAACTTAAGTGTTATGTATTTGTCTTTTAAACCATTTTTTTTTTTTGTTGTTTTCTTCCCTTCTTTGTTTTTATTTCTCTCTCGCTATTAATTTTAATGGCTTAAGATTTTTCAACTGTGTCCATTCCCAAAATACTGTTTGCATATAAGCGAGCGTCGAAAATTCGTGTTAGCGCATCATCAAAACTCATATTAATAGTTGGATATTTATGCCGAGAGACACTCGCCTCTATAATTACCTCCGCGGATGACATAACAGGGATATTTACATTAATATAAATCATTAACATAACAACATTCAACTAGCACACAGTTATTTGAATTAAAATTTATTGACCGAAGATAAGTAGCGTATAGGAATTAATGAGTTTTCTGTTTATCGGTAAGGACGATCGTAGCCAAACTAATCCTCGGCATGAATATCCATACCATTCAAATTTTAAAAACCTTTTTATCGGATTATGGAGTATTTTTTGATCTTTATATGTCTTGGCAACAATTTTTAATGTTTGAAACCTACTTATCCGTGTACGGTGTTTGATTACGTGATTACTGTATATTCCTTTTATAGTTCAAATGTCAAATAACTTTATAAAGATATGTAAAATTATATTTTTTAAACTTTTTTTTTATAATTTTGCTAATTATTATTATTATAATTATTATTATTATTTTGCTTTCTGACACAAATGATTTTTGTTAATTACTTATTTTTAAATTGCTGCTGGTTGGCAATATATCTTATATTTTATAGATACCACACCACAAAGAAACTTGTTACAATATAATCTAGATATGTAACTATTTAGAATATTCAAACTGGAAGATATCTTGTCAAATTGTTCTTCAGAATTCTGTTTAATATTATAGAAATTTGGTAATGGGAAAACTATGTTGTTCTTTCTTATTATTTCTACTATTTTTTATGGGAAATATTTATGTTGTACAGATTTGTTTTTCTTTTTTTTTTATAAACTACTGTTAAATCTTGCTCATTAAGAAAATTGTATCTGTTTTCGGAGCAGTAAAGAATTTTTTTTACAAGTAAACAGTTTTTTTGAGTGATTTTTTTATTGTAAACAAACAGGTATTCATCCCAAACAAATGCCGGTAACTGGTCTCGGGTTCGCGCCGACCAAAGGGCCGGGTTCGTGAAGTTTTTCGAGTGTTCTTCACGTGTCTAACTCCTAAATAGGTGGTCGTTCGTAGAAAGTCATCCCTGGAGGCACCCTCCCTCCGCAGATCAGTCAAGCGTTGCATCGCCCTCTTCGATTAGTCCATCCAATCCATCCCCAACATACAATTGTTTGGGATAGATACACATTGATTCTCATTGGGATTTTCATGCCGCACAGACATTATTTATTTAATATTACATTAGAACAATATATTTCTTTTATATTTTTTTAAAACAAAACTATTCTTTAGTGACTAGTTATAGTTGTAGACAGTACCTAATAGAGGAGAGATGGAGCTTGAGGTAGTCACTTCATCACAAGAGAGAAAATGTATGAATTAAAATCAACAAAATAAATAAAAATTTCCTAAATTAAAAGTTTATTATGATAAATAACTTCATTTTTCATATATTTTTTTACATAAAAAATATTAAATTCTAATTCTCTACGCTGGTATTCTTTGTGTGGGCTTAGTCTCGAGATCATGTCATAAGATTTACCTTAAAAGATGAGCATAGAAAAAATTTGAGAATTATTTGCTCCTAATAGAGATGTAAGTAAATCAATAGCACACTTCTTTGTATATTCTTTATTTATACATATATTTGAAGCATATTTCCTAGGCAGGCAACATATCTGTATCAGCTCTCTGAAAATCTGGACTCAAATCTGGAGCTTTTAGTGTAACATGCTGGTATCTTTACACCCCTGGGTAATTTCTGTATATATGAATGTTAGTGTGGCATAATTTTGTTTACCCTCTTTGAAGCTTAATAACTCCTGTGCTTTTTGTTGAAAATTTCTGAAATTTTGCAGGGTGGTTTTTGCATTAGTGGGGTTGATGCTATTAAATTTTGGTGGTTAAAGGTCAAGAGGGTAGAGAGATAATGGGATTTGTGTGTATCTCCAGTAGGGTCGAAATTAATAACGATTTTATTCGTTATTAGCATTTATGATATTTTATAAAACTTATCTCTCAAAATTAAGCATTTTTTGCAGTTTTATAATAATAATATAAAAAGTTTTTTATAAAATCTCATAACAGATGGCGCCACACCCAATTTTAAGTTTGTACCGGGAAATTTAAGCAAGTCGTTGCTGAATTTTTTTTAAACATGACATTCTTCCAAATTGTTTCTCTTCCAATTTTTTTTAAATGTATCATTTATTCTATTCTCTTTATTTTTTATGGGTCTTCCTCTTAAACTTGCCCCACCCTTTTACTTCAAATATAATTTTTTTAAATGGTAGAACCATTTTTCTTCTATTAACATGAGCCTTCCTCTGCACCAGTGAGACATATTTCTGTTTCTGTATGCCATCTTAAGGCATACAGAAACATAATCTTAAGAAGGTATAAGGCCTAATCCAATGAGGCAAATGACCTGTTCGTTCCCCCAGTGGCTCCATAATGATAATTGTAGAAAAAAGTTACAGATTGTTTCAATCAAAATGAAAGAGAAACAATAGTAATTAATGTTTTATCATTGAATCTTCAGAATGAAGATGTATTCATGCTCAATTGACATTTGTACTGGGTGTGTCCCAGGTACCTGTTTCTAACTATAACTAGTAAATGGTGTAGTCTAGATAAATTAATTAAATGTATCATGTGGGAAGATATAATATTACCAAGTAGGTCATTTGTAAAGGACATTTCGAGGGTCATTTAGCTATCAATAGTAACAGGACTATAAGCGTGGGGTGCTTTAATCTTTTTTGTTAAAAAAAATAGCTACAGGTAAGCACATATCATACTACACACCGCTCTATTAAGGCGTGCAATGGGACACATTTGTCAGGGTGTGTCACTTTGTACATGCCCTAACTCAGTCTCTAAAGATTATTAATCATCATTGACTATTCTCCATCACTACAGAGGCCAAACTGGGGCATATTTCTTCCCACCTTCCTACTGTTAACTTTATTTGACACCATTGGAAAAATTGAGAAAAGAATAATAATAAGAAAATAAATAAATAATAAAAAAAAATCAATGTGTTCATGAATAAATTTCTTAAATAAAGATAAATGATGTTAAGATGATGATAGAGCAATTAATCATTGTTGTCATTATTTATTTTAAAAGTTGAATATGAAGTGTATAGATGGCTCTTGATTTTCCTAATTAAAAGGGCGCCATTAAGCCCTGATTTTACTATTTTCATTGTGTTTAATGGCGATTGTTTCTTGGGTTTAATTACGTTAATTAATAAGTAAGCAAAGGGGAGGGAAACGAAAATAATCGATGGTGTTTCGACCCTAACGTGACAACACGTGGAAGTCGTGCACGTTTTTTTTGAGTTTCGTGATGACAAGGCAGACAGAAGGTCCTTATCGCTTTAATGTAGAAAAGTTATGAATGAATTTTGTATCGACAGTTCGGTTGTTGCACCTTCACCGTTAAGAAACGATACGTAAATACTATATATCCTTACACAAGTGGATCGATCTTACATTCGATCCGATCGATACTATTGAATGAATTACAGTACGGAAATCGATTATCGTCTCCTGTTCTATCACACACCTGGGAGTTGAGATAATCGATATGACGAAAACAGAAACCATGTGTGTCACCGACGTAATTGCATACGAGATCTGTTTCAATTTATTACTATTGTTTAAGAAGAAAAGATGCGGCTCTGTATTCATGTGTTGATGTATGAAGTTTCGAGTTGCTCGGCTTTGTTGTATTCCAGTAATGAAAGATGTTACCTAATTGTTACTGTATATTAGCATTTGTTGAGTGGAGTATCACTTGTTTGTCTTTCGAGAGTTTTCAAAAGACTACTTAAAGTATTAAAAGGCTTACAGCCAGGTTGTTGTTATTATTCGGACATACTACGTTTATGAAAATTAATTAAAAACTATAAAATATGGCCTCGATAATACTGTAAATCATAGTGTTAATATCAGTTTTCAGTTGTTCTTTCTTGTTTAAAAAAAAAAAACAGAGGTCGGTGTAATTGCTTAATTATTGTAATGGCACAATTAAATTACCACCTGCCAAGATGTAATTTAGATCCTTCTCGGGGAAGAGGGGGCAGAGATGACTTTTAATTCTTTCTGGGATTAGAATTAGTAGAAGACCTTGCTGATATTCTCTCGAATTATGCCGCATTTTATAGATTTCTAGTTATTGTATTGTTTTCCTTTCAAAAGGCTTTCTAGTATTGTACTGAGCCATATCATTCTGCTGAAGTAACAACAGGAGCCTTCAGAGAGATAGAACCGTGGAAATTTATTATGGTAAGAATCGCATAACAGGCCTTTTCCCTCTACCAAATAATAATACGTGTAAAAAAATGCGAGGCCTTAAGCTATAAAATCATAAAGCGAGGCCCAGCTGCAGCTTGTTTAGGTTACGCCCTGGAATTGAGTCTTCTGAAAGGCAGGAATAGGAGGCCTTCGAAAGGCTAAGAATTACGAAGGCCTGTTATTAGGTTTTATTGGTGTGTACTTGCAAAGATGCCACACTTGTATGTAAAAGAATTGCTTAGTGTGATGATTAAACCAGAGGGTTTTGCAGGTAAAAATGGCGAAGATGGAGCAGTTCTTATTTGTTATATTTTCTTACATAAGCAATATAGAACCATAAAACTATTTTTAGCAATAAATAAACTCTTAAAATGATGATTATGTTACTTGGATCCATCTGAAGCATCCATAAAACTGTTATGAGTAAGTGCAATCGATAAAACAAACTTTTGCGAGTCAACAGCGAAGAGGAATTGTTGTTGGTTTTTTCCCCCCTTGTGAATAAGAAGGTTATTTTGATGATTATCAAGTCTTGATTTCGTTTACGTAAATAAAAAAATAACAAATACACTTATTAAAATTTAAATTTCATTAAGTTAAACTTTATGTAAGATGTAAATAACTAACGGCTATTTAGGCTTAATGATGGCCTTAAGAAGAGATTTCAATCTGCTGCCATCTGCGGACAGTTTTTTAAACTAATATTGATTTTTTATGTTAGAAATTTTTTTAATTTTTCTCTTAAATTGAATATTTTTTTAAAAAAATAAAGTAAAAATTTAAGTTATTGAATTTTTTGTAATTTATTATAAATTATTTTTTATTATAAAAATTAAAAATGATTTTACAAATTAAAATTAGAATTCAGTAGTTAACGATTGGTAGTACAGATGGCGCCACGATGAGATTTCAAATTTATTTTTTTATTTTTAACTTTAAATTTTTAAAAATTTAAACGAAATGTATTCGATTTAACTTTTTAAACATTAAAAAAATTTATTAATTTTTTTTTTCGTCGATAGAATTAAATTTAGCGACTATCAACCTGTTGTAGAATTGATTTTATAAGATTGCTCTAAATACTCATTAACCATACAGTAGCATCGGTCTAATAAACTTAAAATGGCCTTAGTTCTAGTATAATAAGAGGAATTAACGTACCAAAAATAAAATTCTGTATAAATTTTTAAGTATTAAAAAGTTATAAAGTAGAAATTACAAATGTGCATACGTGCGGATATATTTAAAAGTACAGGTATATTAGTATTATATCAGTATTGGTCTCACCTGAGAGGAGCTGTTCTAGTTACCGCGCATAACCCACACCAGGGGGATGTACGGCGCTAGAAGGAACAGCGTAACAACCTCGCTCCGTGCACCAACCATTGATGCGTTCAGTAGAGAGCGGGAAGTATGCTGTGCAGCTGCTGAAGGAGAGCCTTCGCTCACGCGTGGCTCCTTTCGAGCCACGAGGATAAACACACAAGTAAATTGGAGCCATGCCTTTTTGGAAGTGGACCATCGAACCCGTCTACCTGAGTAGAGGAAACGGGAAATGTGAGGATGATCTGTTGGAAGCAACGTGCAATCGAACGTTGGTGGCTACTTTACATCAGCTGACGTGCCTCCTGAAGTTGGCACATTACGTTTTCAACGATATAGGGGGTGAGTGCGAGGCCCTATATAAGAAAACAGAAGAATTAAAGGGAAGAATCGATGTGTGCAGCAAAACTTCGAAAGGCCTCAATGCCAGGAAGGTTGCAGTTCGTAAGTACCTTTAAAGTTTATTTATATGATGTCACACTTACGAAACACGGCACCCTCACGCTTACTTACGCAAACCTCTTTAATCCACCCAAATTAAGCATTGCGTAACGTGTCTGTGATAAAATATTTACATATTAATCCGGGCATTAAAATGTATACTATGTAATCTATGCCCTTGAAAAAATGTATATATATATATAAGATAAGAGCATAAAGAAAGTAGTCGAGCAGCAAAAACGGTTGAGTAAAAGTCTCGAAAACTTCTAACCTCGCCACGTGATAGGGTTGCACAAGTGTTAGTCACAGCACACGTGATGGAACTCTTGAAAATAAGTGGCAGCACCCCATTGTAAAAACGTATACGTGGCCCAAACTTGGATCCATGCAACCCAAATACCCAAAAACACGTTTGGAAATTGTAAAATGATCGAGCATTTTCTATGTGTTTTTTATATATATTATCCTCGTTACTTGTGTCCTTTCGAGCGCATTTGCACACCAGTTGTCACGACAGATGGATATATTCAACGCCACATGACCCGTTAAAATCATGTTAAAAATTTTACTTCTTTTATATAAATTATTCTTGCTTTATCAACTGTATATTTACAATAAAATAAAATAAAAGAAACAAAATAAATGTCGTTAGTCCGGATAGCAGGATGCGCAAACATAAAACTTCCGGTCGGTCACTCAACCGTGTGACGTCACGTCCGTTTACCTGGCAGACAGACATACCCAGTCACACCGGGCGGTAGTTTTTTTTCTGTTATTTATTTATTTATATTTTTAATCTATTAAACATTTCTCTTCTCAGCCGCTCCGGTCTACGATCTTTCAGCGCCACTAACTCGGGTTTTATTGTCGAAATTTGACCAATAGACACTATAAAAGCGGATCACGTGACGCTGCCGTATTTAACTTTTACCCCTACCTACATTCTGTAAAGGAAAAAGTTTCAGAGGTTTGATTATAGAAGAGGGAGGTGGGTGCAGGGTCCACACCTGCAAGCAGGCCGTTACGGATGATAAGGTAGGGGGGAAGTGGGATCGTCACGATAAGCACGGCTCTCCAGGTTGATAAAAATGGAAGTTAAACAACTGGAACTGATAAAATAAACAATAATTCGGCATGTGAAAAGTCATATCGATTAATATAATTCGTAACGTTACGGCAGGCAACACATACCACCCCCTCCGTATACAGTACATACTTTATTTATTTACTGTTACGCTCGGTCGACTTCATTACAATTTACTGTGAAACATCTACAGAGTCACTCCCCCTTAAAATGAAAAAAATAAAAAAGTAAAAAGTACATTTAAAAATGCCGAAAGGTGAATAACTTGATTTAATTTCGTTGAAGGAACCAAACAGTCTGTAAACTATGCGGGGTGGAAGAGAAAGTTTCAATTTATTCAACGAAATCACGGAATTTTTTCCAGTTTTATTAAGTTCTCTATCCTCTTTTATTGCGCTTGACGATTTTACGGATGATAGTCACGTGATCGAATCATAAAAATCATCTTTAGAAATGAAATTTCTGGATGATAGATGGGTGCCACTTCGCGGTATTGATTTAACGTTTTTATGAAATTGTAAATAGGGTAATTTTTTTTTCTTTTTTTTTCCTTCATTGATTTTATGAGGGGATTTTGTTTTAATATTAACTTACTCCGCCCAATTTACTGTTTTGTTTTATTTTAAAATAAAACACAAAAATTGAGTGGTTGTTTTTTTTAGTTAAATCCGAAAAAAATCGATAATTTTTGAGTCACAAAGTAATGGAATTGTACGAAATTTTTTTTTGTAATTTTGTATTTAAATATATAATGGACTCTTGATATAGAGAACAATTTCCCTTGCATTAAAATATGCAAGGAATTAAGAATAAAAATAAAAACATTATTGAAGAAGAGGAGGAGGAAGAAGAAGGAAAATGGCAAAGTTGAAAAAGCGCAGCAGCATTCGTTCCTCGACTGTTGCTAACTTTATTTTAGTTACCCCCGGGCTACTTTAAGAACCTGAAAGATAAATTTGGAATGTCCCCCGAGAGGTTATCTTCAGTAGGATATTCTAATATAGAATAAAGTGCTCTTGTCTTACTCAAAAAAACATCAGAAGCATTAATTCCGAGGGGAGAGAAGAGGAGGAGGATTTGTAGAAGCAACAGCATCTCTACCAATTCTTGCAGCACGCTTCTGCCTGATTGGAAATTCTGTTTTCCATAAACTAGGACCTTCTTTTTCGGCACCGGACAGAAAGATATCACATTTAAAGTGACATATGCCAGACGACAGCAACAGATGGAGTATGAAAAGGCGAATTTTCGGCTCTCCTCCCCTCTAGTAAATGGTGAAACTGTGGCCGAGTTGGGAAGCAAAAGGTGTTTCACGAGTGCCAGATTCTTCATGCATGTCAAGAGGAAGTTTTTCGTGATACACTAGTATCTGTGACGTACCGGGTGTTTCCATTAAGACATGGGAGGATCTCTAGTGCCTTACCAGGTAATACACAAGACAAAAGACAGGCACCGTCTGGACACTTTACAGATAGATTTAGCTTATAAATTCTCGTTTTAACGAATTAAATTGAGGATGGGAAAGGAGGAAGGATGTTTTAAATTACACAAGAAAGCTTAAATTGAACGTTGAAAGATGTTCTATCAAAGGCTTTAGGGGGTTCAACTGAAGAGCTTAGGTTCAAGGACTCGGCTCAAGGTCGTCGTGGGATTTGTCGCTGGACCGTAACCGAAAATCTGTATCCCCCTATCTTTTTTTTTTTTTTTTTTTGATTATTCTGGTTTATGCATAATGTTGTAACGTGACCACACCCGGATCTGGAGAGAAGTAGGACAAAGGGGATCAATAGACGGCCGCTACAGACGATGACTTTTGAGAGGTTTCCATATGTCCTGCCTTGCAAGGTTTATCTAGTGTACTTAACCAAGGTAATCTTATCAGGACTGCAGATGGGCGAGCTTCTATGGAGTTGTTCCAACTTTTCAAGAGGAGTGGTGGTAGCTCCTTAACACAAACCACAGGAGGACTGATCATTTTTTTTTTATTTTTGAAGTTCGCTCCTTAAAATACATCAAAACTCATTATTAACCCATTAAAAAAGGGAATTTTTACGACAGAACAATTGCTCGACTGCAATAAACCTCAATTTCTTCTTAAGTATTAACACGAAATAAATCATAAATCAATTAATCAACACGGAGAATTGAGTTCAACGAACTTGATTAAGCATCCACCAGTTGAAATTATGTAAAACGTATCAAACAATACAGTTANTAATTGTTGAAATTGAAATTTTTATTTGCCGTTTTTAATTATTGAAATTGAAATTTTTATTTGCGTTTTTAATTGTTGAAATTGATGATTTTTCTTTTTTAAAAAAAGTCAATTTCGTTTTTTAAACTTTAATGAACAACAATTATCGATTTAGTTGATATTTATTGTTATTTTCTTCAATTAATTTAAAACTTACCATTTTAAAAATGCAATTGATAGTTTTATAACTTATAAAAAAAGCAAAATAATTCACACTTTTTTAAATTTACGTATAATACATTATTCTTCAATTAATGTAAAAGTCAATCAGAAATATAAACTCATAAAAGTCAAACTAGTTTAATTACGAACTTTGAAAAAATAATAATAATAATTAAATTTAAAATAGCGATTACAATTTTCAATATTAATTATTTAGAAAACGAATTAAAATAAAATTGTAATATTTTAATTAAAATGTCATAGAAAAAAAAAATAATAATAATAATTTGCGGCTGTTGAAGGGTGATTTATAGTTTTTATGAGTAACACACAAGTTTATTTATTTATATTTTAACCGTTATGTAAACCATTTAAAATGAAATTTCTATAAATTACACTTCGTATCTAGTTACAAAAATAATTTACAAGTCACTTCGTATCCTGTTTTCTTTTTATATATTCACGTCTTAATTTCGATCGAGACGTTTTGAATCGTTATTCTCTCGAGGGTGGAACTTTATGACTACCAGGAAATCATCAGTAACATACCAACCGTGAAGTCAATATACTGTAAAATCTCAGCAGGTGTTTAGATCAATTTAATATGAATTTTAACTAATTTAAAAAATAAATAAATAAATAAATAAATAAAATTTTCTTTCGAGATAAAAGTCACCTTAATGAAGTGTTTTATTACAATAAGGACATAAGATTTCTCTTAACCTACTTACACAGCTAATTGGTTCAATAGTAAACACTAGAGATAAGCTTTCTACTTCATCTGATACGAAAACTATACGTTAAAAAAAATAAATGTATATATATATATATTACATCTGTTGGTCACGTGGTATGGGGAGTATTGATTAATAATGGGTTATAGGAAATACATTATTCGCTTCAGTTTTTCCTCCCTCCTCCCTCCGTGTATAGGGGTGCTTCGAAGGAGGCGTGTGCCTTATGGATTCGTGTCACGTGAGCTGCATGTGCTATGTGTTGACTGCCAGCCATTTTTTTTTTAAAGCGTATTATGTTCATTGAGACGAAAAACAGTTGAGCTGTAACGAGACTCGAGGGGATATTACAGTTTAATTTACAATATTGTAAATCAGAATTTTGAAACTGTAATTTAAAAAATTCAAATTAGAAAGTCGTGTTTTTAAGAAACTATTAAAATATTTCGAGGTTATAAATTTTGTAAGTTCTTTTTTTAAAAATTTGCAATTTTTAAATTGAAATTATTTCAGTTTTTTAATTTTAAAAAAATTAATTTAAAAACCGTATATTTAAGAAAATTTAAAAAGTTTCAACTTTAAAAAATTGTAAGTTTAAAAAATGACAAAAAATTCAATTTAAAAATTACAAAAATTTCAATTTAAAAATTGTAAGTTTAAAAAATGCAAAAAATTCGATTTAAAAATTGTAAGATTAAAAAATGACAAAAAATTCAATTTAAAAATTGTAAGTTTAAAAATGCAAAAAATTCAATTTAAAAAATTGTAA